TTTTTTTTTTTTTTTTTTTTTTTTTTTTTTTTTTTTTTTTTTTTTTTTTTTTTTTTTTTTTTTTTTTTTTTTTTTTTTACTCTGGCTACTTTTTATGGGAAAGTTATTCCCTGGCTTAGTTCCAGTGTAGCACCTCCTACCGATTATTTAAAAAAGGAAAATTTTATGAGACCTTAATCAATAAAAGAACTATGATTATATTAAACAGAGTATACACCATGCCTGTTTTAATACTACTTACTTTCAACAACTACCAAAGATGTCAAGAAATAATATAGAAGATAAAATTTATTCTAATATAAGACTTCATTTTTTAGATGAGATAAAATCTAAGAAAAATATAACAGAGTTGTGGAATTAAATATCTAAACAAGCAAAAAAGTCATGTCAATAAAGATTAAAACTAACATACAGAATGAGCAAACTTGTCGCAAAGCTGTCACCCCTTTGTCAGTGCGCCCAGCAACCACAGCACATCCTTCTATCGGTAAGCATCTATCTTTCAGCTGCTGAGCTTTTTTCTCATCTACAAATTTCCCAAGAGATTTTTCCACCACACTGCCAAAGGATACAAGTAGAAATAATCATATAATATACAGGAGTGCTTTCCATTTCTAGATTGCAATCAAACTATTTATGGATCAAAAGGTATTAAAATACTACTTTAAGCTATTATACTAGAAGAAGGAGATACGATAAAAGGAAAAGTGAGATTAGCAAGGTTGGTTGACCAAATTTGGACAATGAACTCAAGAGGAATGTTTCACTTGAACTGGAGGCATTGGATTTTCAATTGTATCTCTAGCACTCGATTCTCCACAAAAAAAGATTCCTCAATTGTATCTCTAGAACTATCTTCTCAAACATTATCTAAAACTTACAAATACTTAAGATTTTTTTTATTAAGACTTCATAATGAAAAGAACATTGCTAGCTTCAAAAGCTCCCAATTGCGTATGTATATTACTTGGCATATGGTTCACATTTTCTTGAAACATGCTTACCCCTGAACAGTATTCAACTCTGGCTGCTTTTGCCACCCATCAAAAGAATTTCCATGGTAGGAAAGAACAATCTTAAATGTTGCCCTTGCCCACCTCCCAGTCCCATCTTTAACCGGAGCTCTGTTTAACTCTGCAGTGTTGCAAACCGGTTGAATCTCAGTATCATCATGATCACGAACTGTCTGTGGATAAAGTACTAAAAACTATAAATAAATAAATGACATCTTCTTGTTTTATACAGAAAGATAATTAAAGAACAAAATTTTCATCCTCATTTTTTCTAATTGTAATCAACCAATGGAATTTATAAAACAAAATTTTCTAAAAAAACATGAAGCCGATCACCAAATCAAATGTAAGAATTGATAGCAAGGATTTGATTAAAACTCATCTCTAAAACTGAGAATCCAAGAAAAAATTAGTACTAAAGCAGATATTAAGTTAAGAACCAGAGAACCTGAACAAAAAGAAATCCAAGACCTTAGATTTACAAAGTCGTACAACAATTACATTATCCTCGTTCTTTTCCCTACTATTTTAGGTTGCAGGAGGAGGATTCATGATTGTTTTTAACTACTCATGGAACTGCATTGCTTGGAATAAACGAAAGTAACTCATGCTGATACAACATTACAATGTAAGCGGCATGAAATATATAAAGCTCGTTCTTAGAGTTAGCATCACAAGAGAGAGAGAGAGAGAGAGAGATTCACACGGTCGCAAGGGAGGGAAAAAGATTCCTAGTTCACAATTCCATTGCTTTCATCTTAAGAAACGGAAGAGTCATAAAGAAAGAGGCAACAAGTTTGCAAATGAAAATAAGTTTATAGAAATCGTTGATATTGGATACCCACCTCAGTTCTAAGCGAGGACAGTGATAATCTTCCATTAACAGCATGAGAGTAAAAATCAAGCACTTCTTGCCACGGCCTTTCATACATCAATTGGTAGCTTTCCCTGCCAAAAGCATACAACATCTTGATTGACAACCTTCTCAGATTCAGATTGAATTACTACACACAAAAGCGAACCTCTCGCAGATACAGAATCCGATTCGAAGTACCTCACGGGAAATTTCAAATCGATTAAAGCAATAGATAACGAAAATGTACGAAAGTAAAACCTGGAAGTCCATCGGGCATTTCTGCAGCGATCAGTGTGGTTATAGTGAAGATAGTCCTTTTTCTGAGCTCGATTCTCCATCAGACACTTAATACCGAAACCGAAACCGAAACCGAAACCGGCACCTGATGGTGATAGCAGTCTAGCCCTTGGATTTGGTAGCATAACCACCGCACCACCCAACCTGAGCGGACGACAGTATTTTGCAGTTGCAGCCGCCGGCGCGGCAGGGACGATAATGTAAATCCACGTAGATGTTGCAGTCAAGCAGATGTAAGAGAGAAAGCCCATATTCGTCCAACCGGAAAAAGCCCAATATGGCCGAGCCCATCAAGGTATGCGGGCCTGAGTTAGTCGACTAGATTATGTTGTTGGATTTGGGCCGAGTATGTCGGATTGAAAATCCCAATTTTCATTGATGTTCATATTTAAATAAACTAATATGTTTAGGACCTGCCAGGATTCTCTGCTTGTACACTGGTTCTTGATGTTCTTGATGTTCTTGATGGTAGGGAGTAATTTGTAGCAGAAAAAATATAAATTTACAGTATTTCTAGATTACGAAAGAAAATAATTGGGATATTGCATTTAGGATTCTTCCAAATATGTTTGATTTGTTTCACTCATAATGTCAGACGGTTCATGTCCTCGTACTCTATAGCTTATAGTAAAAAAATTGACTACAAACCTTACCTTTTAAATGCTGTAAATATCCAAATGCTACACTATTTGCCTTTTTTCGCTACCAAGTATTGTCTTGAGCTATCTTATTGAATAAGAACGTTTTGGATTTGATATGAATGGAAGAACGTTTTCCAGTTCTAAGGCTTAAGTTTATCGCAATAACGATTTCAGTGTCTTGTTTCAAGTTCACAAAACGTCAAGGTTTGATGGATTTCAAAAAGAAGTACGATTTGTTGGACCAGCAAGCTAATAGCTTGAAACGAAGAATTCACGTATAAGCTCACAATACAAGCACTCAAACCAAATTCATGGGGCTAAAGCCCTTAATCCCTGCAAAAGTGAACGAATCTTGAAAATATATGATTTGGGAGGATGATTGGAAGAGAAGAGTGGTATGTTTCTTCATTATTCATTAACATCCCAAGCTTCATAGCTTTTCTAACGAACTCAACGCCTATCTTCAAGTTACCATTTCTAAATGGCTAATGCAAACAAAGAAGATGTGAGATACTACATCGGTTGGAGATGGAAACAAAACATTTCTTAGAAGGTAAATATTTCTTAGAAGGTTTTGGAAACCTCTCCCTAGCAAACGTGTTTTAAAACCATGAGGTTGATGTCAACACGTAACGGGGTAAAGCAGACAATATTTGCTAGCAGTAGGTTTGGAGTGTTACAAATGGTATTAGAGCTAGACACTGAGCGATATGTCAACAAGAACGTTGGACAATATCTACTAACGAGATACATAACAGCCCAAAACATACAATATCTACTAATGATAGGCTTGAACTCTCGAAGAGCTAACGCCTCCAAAGATTGAGCTAAATGGAGACTACCGTGAGAACAACATCAAGTATCGACGTTGGGTTGAGATTGATGCAAAGAAACTTTGAACAAATTACTTAGGGAAGTAACATGACTCTTATATTAGCTATAGAAAGTCAATACAAATGAATTGAAACAAGTAAGAAGAACAGAATGAAACACATATAGCATTCGCCAGTACTCAAATTATGGACAGGACAGCCAAAATAACCAACAATAGATGGACCCAAAATCCAGTGGAAATGTCAGAAGCCAAGTTGAGTCAAGAATCACTAAAATCATTCTCAATCTTTGGGATTGAGCATCAATAACTACACTCCAATTCACACAAGTGAAGGACTTTGAATACAATACACCATCAGCAAGAAGAACAACCGATACGCATGCCAAATTCCAATGAACAAAGAATACAAAGCTACCCAGGCCACAGAAATGTTTCTGTTATGAATCAAAGCCGGAACCAACACATATAGGACAGTGATCTAACAGAAAAAATGATAGCAACTCAACATAGGCTAGGTCAGATACCACAAGATGCTAAGAACATGCACACTGCTAAAAGAAGCCTCACACTCACGTCAAAGGGATTTTAGACATTTTGGTTGAAACTTATTCATGATCAGATTTTGAAGGAAACATTTTACATACTAGAACATGAGGAAGGATAATAGAATCAAGTCATACAAGGGCGAGTATAAAACTTTTATCAGTTACCACTGAGAAAGAAGGTAGGAAAAATAGACAGCACAAAAAGGGCCTTTTGATAATACAGCATGTCACCCAATTTCCACCAGTCATGAAGGATCTGAAAATAAATTCTAAAACAGTTCAATTCGAAACTTCGGGGGTGAAAAGTGCACCAAGATTCATAATATTTTAGAAGAAATGCAAAATAGATCGAAAATTTCGTTCAAATTACAAATCTTTCATAGTTTCAAAGCATGCCAAGCAGAGCAGCGCAATATTATACCCAAAACTAACAAAATTTAATATGCTAACTAAATCTATCCACCACCCCCCCCCCCCCCCCCCCCCCCCC